CTTCAAAATTTTGACCAAACGTATTTTTAAGTCCATTCCAGTTTGGAATTGGCTTGCACAGTTATAGTGAGTATTCTGATACCAGAGAAAAATGTTCCTTGAAATTGTAATTTTCAAAAAAAAAGTCAAAAATACTGGAAATATTAAATAGTCAGGCAGTGTTTTCAGAGAGTACAACAAAATAGCTGTTTATGTTCGATGACATTTCACACGTGCTGGTGCTGTCTAAGCTGTTGTGTACTTACAGCATTTTCTAACATCTACAGTATTTTGCTTTTAGGTATTTACTATATGTTTCATATCTAAACATAATTTGAGTTACTTGAGCTAGAATTCATTGTAACATTCAAAATACCTGGGAAGCAGAGGGCATTACTGCGCGCACCCCCCCCCCCACCCCCAAAATGCCATGGACTATTCATTTATGGGATGACTGGAAAAAAGTACCCCCAACCTGTCATGAGAGTGGGAAGAAATGGTACAGAACTTCACCGCCAATGCCAGGCTGGTTCTTTCCCATGTTTGTTGCTAATTATCTCATTAGAAGCTTATCACAAGCAAATATGGGAAAGAAGCAGTCTGCTATTGGTGCAATGAGGTGAATGGTAGCAATTTGTGGGGGTGACGAGAAGTGAGGTTGCCAGGCTAAGGAGCCAGGTCTGTGGGACTGAGATGCAAAAGCTAGGGACATGAGTCTGGGGTCTGAGGCTCGTGCAATCAGGCCAAGGGTCGATGACTTGGGGCCTGATGGGGATCTGAAGTGGAAGGAGATGAGCTGCAAAAGGAGGCAACAGGACTGCAAAGGGGACAGAGGAACTGGAAATGACAGAGACATTTGAAAATTTGTTGGCTGGAGTGCAGGGGGTGGAGAATCTGCCAACAAAAGAAGAGATCTGCATGAAGAATGACAGCCTGCTGCAAAAGGTAGAAAAAGTTTTAAAAATTTCAAAAGGAAAAAACTGGGAACAGGAAAACTGAGGTAACAAACTCTATGTAAAGCAAAGTCTCTAGTTTAAAGTTGCAGAAGCTCAGGGACTACTATACAGGGGGATAAATGTAGTAGCTACTACTATGAAGAATAGTGTGTCAACTGTGTAATTTAATATTAAGCTGTTCTGTTTCATAAAAATTTGCATATATGTGCAACCATATCTCAAAGCCACTTATGTGCAATTACTTGGGTTTTAGTAGATGTTGTAACAGACAAACATGCAAAAATTTAGCTGTAATCTCACCAGTATGTGGAAAGCATTATTTAATGTCACATATAGAAGTGTGTGTTAACTTATTTTTGTTTAACAATGCCTTTGTTGCTAATGTATGCCTGTTTTCTTGTGCTAGGAAATTAATGCTTTTGATCTGTGTTGTGGCTTTAAGTTAAATGGAGTAGCGATGGTTATTGGGGATAAGCACAAATTCTTCTAGTTCTGTTTCCATTTCATTCAAATTCCAACACAAATATAAAAGGTATCATTATTAAATGACTGCATCATCTAATGAAGGAGTTAATGAAACTGAAAAGTGAGCTCCTGCAAACCAAAGTATAACCTCTAAAAATCAAAAAGTAGCTGTTTGGAAATCTTAACAGCAGCCCTCAAAAAAATAATTAAACTCTGGTACACTTTTTGCTTCATGGAGACACAGATAGAGTGGTTGTAATGTTAAATGGCTTGCAGTAGGTAATATCTGAGTAGGTGTAAGAAAATGTACAGTCTCTTTTTTTTTGGTAAATAAATGTTTGATATAACCATGTAAGGTTATAAGGAGTAAACTGGCTGGTGGGATTATTCTTGGATTGTATTAAAAAGGAGACATCACGAGCATTATAGGCCAAACCAAAACTTCCTCTGTTGTTTTAGCTTCTGTTGCTCAGTGGATGTTTTTATCAAAATCAATAACTTTTCACATGGAACGTAGACATGCTGGCATTTATCATCTATTCCTAATTTCCCTGAAGAAGATGGTGGTGAGTTGCCTTCTTGTATGTGGTAGATTTGTACTATTCTCATGTGACAATAGTATAATGAAAGGTAATAATTTTTTCTCCATTAATATAAATTACATAAACCCTGACGAATGCAAATATCTTATTACGTGCATTTTATAGAGCCTGATCGGGAACGTTCTTGTTGGACTTTAATAACCCCTATTTTTTGCACTGGATATTTTAGCTGGATAGTTACTGGATACGATTTCAAAAATGTGCCTGGATTGGTGAGGTCCTCTAGACCGGTGAACACTGTGGAGTTTTAAATCCATTGAATAAGAATAGATAGGTTGGCCTAGACAGATGGTCTGAAGGGCCTCTTCTGTGATGTATGACTATGAGTGCATGTGATTTTTTTTTAAAGCAAGTTTTCCACCCAAGAATCTGCCCAGTTGAAAGTCTCAGTTCCCTGTCAGGCAGAAACACTCTAGCACTGACTGCCCCTAAGGACCAGAAACGGCAAACTTTGTTTTAAGTGACACTTTATCAACCGGCAAAAATCATGTACCCGAAATACCGCAATCTACTGTGGCGCCTGACTATTTATGCTGTAAATAAAGTATAACATTGACGTGTACATCCCCTGCGTTATGTTTCTATTACTTACTGTGTGTTTTTATATTGATTTTACTGGGTGTGTTGATGTTTATAACATAGATTTTTTTTGGCAGAGCTTGATGTCTCGAAGCTTCGCTTGGTCGGGGTTTACTGCAGTTGTACGTACCTCTTGACTATCCAAAATATTTGATCAACCAGTAAACTCCTAGTCCCATAGATGCCAGCTAATAAAAGGTTTGGTGTAGGCTTTCTGTTGTTTGGAGATTGTGAGGTGGTATGTGGTCATAGACATTCAAGGCAGAGATTGGTGAAGAGATCAATGATCATGGAAGGGTTCATGACTTTCAGTGATATTGTGGAGTTTTCGTTCACAGGTAGGTGAACATCTCATCACAGTGGGCAGCAAGTTACTCTTAGGTCCTGGCCTGCTATACAACACATACAATGCTTTGATTAAAGACCTTTGGATGTTAGAATGAGGTAGATGTTGTACAGAACTTTCCATATTTTTATAGAAAATCAAATCAAATAGTGGAGACGCTAAGGAACCGTTGTCTGCTGCAGAAAAACGATCAGCATCATGTGCTTTAAATGAGAGTGTATTATCCGTGGCAGCATTCTCTTTTTCTCCAATTTTCTGGCCATTTCACCTCTATTTTTCATGAGTTGACAGGGACGTTCATACAGAGATTACTCTGCTACATGATTTTGCCCCCTAGGCTGTTTCTGATGTGTGAATCTGGACAGTAAATATTGAGGGAAGAAGGAAATCTTAATTCTGATCTAATCGGGGTAAGAAAATTGTTGCCTTTGCCAACTTGCATGATAAAAGATTATTTTCATTTATTCGTAAAGAAAGGACTTTCATTTCCTTTGCATTCACACAAACAATCACTTCTCCACTCAGCCATTGTACAGTGATTAAGGGAAGCAGGAAGCCTAGCTTATTTTTCCCTCCTGTAGCCTCAAGATACTGAAACCTGATGTATGCCCTCACTGCTACCTTGGAACAAATCAATTAATTCAGAGGGCCCAGTGATCAAGCCTGAGATTGCCCTGATCAGAAAGGCTCAGCACCACATTGTGCATTATCAATACATATTGAACTTCAATTCCATTGTTGAAATAAAATTCTGGGAAAGTTTTCTGAGAAAATCCTCTCCCACTCACAGAAGTTAAAATAATTATCATTCAGTCATTATAGTGGCTCTTTATTTCCTTAAGCAGCTTCACATAAAATTATTTTCTCATTTAACTGACTAGTTCATTATTAATTTGACAGTAACTATCTTAAAGCCATTGATTTTGGAATTTGCATTAATATTGATATCAGTAATTTCAAATCATGATTAACTCATTTAATAATGGTGAACAAGGAGAAACCAATATAAGTATAGTTAATGTGTGCTGTTTGAGTACAAGTTTTCAGTTTGGATTAGACTAAAAGTAAAGGGGGAGGATGTGGAGGTGGCAAAGGATTCCATAAACATGGCTCCTTAGCTACCATTTGTCATATCAATTTCCCTAAAAGAGATGCTGCAACATCCACACTAGGCCTCCAGGGTCACGTTATTTAAAAAAAAATGTTATTCTTCCTCCTCTCTGATTCAGTTCAATCTCCTACTGTTCAGTGAAAATGAGAGGCTGGTCAGCAAGGTAGACCCAGAAAGAGATGAAACATCAGCAGTGGGAAGTCTGTAATCAGGAGATGTCATTTAAGTACCTCAGCAGTGAGGAAGCAGGGCAATGTATAGGTACTGGCCAAAATGAGAATGAGTGGAATAGATAGATGGGAAATATAGCTGTGGATGACAAACTGGCTGAAGTGTGAAATTCTGATGGATAAAAGCTTTGTAATGTTAAAACTCTTGCATGAAGACTGTACAAAGTTTGCTGTATTGGGCAGGCTGATACTTAGGTTGCCTTAGACACAAATTTGTGGGAAGTGGAGACTATATGCAACTCAATGCTCCAGGTTGATTAAAAAATTAAAAATCACACAGGAGAAAAATTACAAATTTTCAGAGATATGGCAAAGAGTAGGGGGAGTCAAATTGACTGGATAACTTTTTAAATAGCCAGCATAGACGCAATGGGATTCTGGTTTCCTGCTGTGCTTTAAAGCTCTATGATTCTAAAATAGCAGTGCAAATCGAAATATAGGTCAGTCAGCCCCTGTTGCCTATTTTTCAAACCCATAAGTGTCTGCAGACAATTGCTAACTATTATTCATGATTAATTAAAATGTATCTATAACTATCATACTCCTGGAACAAATTATTTCAAATTACTAGCCCATTTCTACTGTTGTCATATTGTCAGCTCTTTTAACAAATGATTCAATAGTTCCGTATCTGTGCAGTTAGCTATGTGGGTCAGAGCTACTTCTAATACTGTTCAATTAGGCCATATAATTACCTCAGGTAATTTGCCTCAAACACAGGAAATCACTTACTTGATTCGGGGTCTGAGTTGCCATCACCTTCAGTCCTGCTCGGGGATGTTTGCTCATAGTATTCCTCCTGTGGGAAGCCAAGGGGCAGAGGGTGCGATGTGCTGGCACTGCTGTTGGGTTCATGGTCACCCAACCCACTATCGCTGCAACTTTCCTGAGAGCCATCAGGAAGGTGGAACGTGACCCTTCGTTGTGACTAGAAGAGAAAGAAAGAAGCACAATTAGTATTTTGTCACCTTCTGAGAGATATGACACTTCTGTTCTAAAGCTTGTTTCATTTTACTTTTGTTTGTTTTCCGCAAATTTTCTCAAGAGCCCTTTTGAAGGCACTGACTTTTGCTGGCTTCAATCATTGGTCATACCCCTCGCTCAAGCAGCAATGTAAGGCCATGTAGCTGTGAAAGACACCATAGCTGAGCCTAGTTTGGATCCCTCCTGAATTCCAGAACACAAATTTTCCAACAGCAGCTACCTGTTACATGCACTGAAGTACAGTGAAAAGATTTGTTTATGAGCAGTACAGGCAGATCATAGTAACCAACGATGCACAGATCAAAAAGACTTAGACGGAGCCATACAGGTTACATTGCACAGGGCGTGCATTAGGTGAGAGCAACATTAGCAAGATCAGGGTTATTTGGGGCTAGACAGTCCATTCAGCAGTCAGATAACAGGCGGGTAGAAGCTGTTCCTGAACCTGGTCATGCGTGTGTTCAGGCTTCTGTATCTTCCGCCTAACAGAGAGGTTGTAGGAGATCGTTACCGGGGTATAGAGGGTCTTTGATGATATTTGCAGCCTTTCCGCAGCAGCGAGCCATGTAAATGGAGTCCATATTTGGAAGGTTGGCTTCCGTGATGGTTTGCGTATAGCAGTTGCCATACTAAGCCGTTACGCACCTGGACAATATGCTTTCAATTGTGCATCTGTAGAAGTTGGTGAGGGTCCTTATGGACATGCCAAATTTCCCGAGCTGCCTGAGGAAGAAGAGGCATTGTTGTGCCTTCTTGACCATCGCATCAATGTGGGAAGTCCAGGACAGATTGTTAGTTACCGTCACTCTGAGGAACTTAACGCTATTCATGCTCTTAACCTCAGTTCTGTTTATGTAGATGGGGCGTGTTCTCCTCCTTTGTTTCTGAAGTCAATGAGCAGTTCTTTTGTTTTGCCGACGTTGAGTGTGAGGCTGTTCTCATTGCACTACGTCACCAAGCCCTCTATCTCCCTTCTGTATCTTGACTCATTGTTGTTAGATGTCCATCCCACTACGGTGGTGTCGTCAGCGATCTTGTATATGGCATTCGTTTTGAATTTGGCAACACAGTCATAGGCGAACAGGGAGTACAGTAGGGAGATGAGGACGCAGCCTTGGGGGTTCCAGTGTTGAGTGTTATTGTGGAGGAAGTGCAGTTACCTATCCTCACTGATTGCAGCCTGTAGGTCAAAAAGCTGAGGATCCAGCTGCAAAGGGCAGAGCCTAGATCAAGGTCATGGACTTTTGAGATCAGTCTGGAGGTGATATTGGTGTTGAAGGCGGAGCTGTAGTCAATGAGCAGGAGTCTGACATAGGTGTCCTTGTTGTCAAGATGTTCCAGGGATGAGTGTTAAACTAGGGATATGGCATCTGCTGTAGACCTGTCACATCGGTAGGCAAACTGTAGAGGATCAAGGCAGGAGGGAGACTAGATTTGATGTGGGCCATGACCAGCCTCTCAAAGCACTTCATGGTTATTGAGGTCAGAGCAACTGGGCGGTAATCATTCAGTCACATTGCATGTGCTTTCTTAGGTATGGGAATGATGGTGGTCTTCTTGAAGTAGATGGGGACTTTGGCTTTTAGGAGGGAGAGGTTAAAGATGTCAGTGAATACCTCTGCCAGTTGATCCGAACAGGATCTGAGTTCTCGGCCGGGGACACGGTCCGGGCCCATCGCTTTCCTTGTGTTGACTCCGTGGAAGACTGATCCAACATCTGCAGCAGTGACTGATGGAATGGATGCGTCTGGGCTGTCGGGTCAGGCATCATCGTGCCGCTGGCATTCTGCTCAAACTGAGCATAGAAAGCATTGAGTGGGTCAGGGAGGAATGTGTCTTTGTCTGCTATCTTGCTCTGCTTTGTTTTGTATCCGGTTACGTTGTTTATGCCTTGCCATAGGTGGCAGGAGTCTGGTTAGTAGGTTTAGACCTCTAACTTTGGGTCCGTACTGCCTCTTGGCCTCCCTGATGGCTTTGAGGAGGTCATATCTGGTCATATTTGCGGAGGACAATAATTGGCTGTTTCCATTCCCTTACCTAGAGCACTCTGATCAGTTGAGAGCAGCTATATTTGTACTCACTGCCAATTAAACTTGGAAAAATCACAGATAATTGACTCAGTCCTGTACTAGGCTTTACCAATAAGCTATTGTAGATCCCTTTATCTTTGCTGGCTAATTTGAAAAGAAAATATAATTTTAAGGCTGGGTTGGATTGACCAAGTCATACCCTACTTATCTTGGAGTTATTATTATGATGTTTGAAAACATTAAAAAAATGTTCATATTCTAAGAAAGCTAATCAAAAGATTTAAATTAACCACTTTAAATTGTGTGCACTGTTACACAGGCATTAAATGCAAACTTTTTTGAAAATGAAGACTGCTTATTTGTATTATATTTAGTAGCTTTCATTTTTGTTAAAACACAATATTTGTTCTGAAAAATGGCAATTCATAATGTATTCTTCATTTCTCCACAATCATGCCCCAAAGTGTAAAGTAATTTGCAGAGCTTTGAAGAAACGGCAGGTGTGCGAGACTAATTGCATTGCTCTTCCAAGAGTCAAGGTAGGCAGGTCAGGATGAAAGGCCTCCGACTGTGGTCCATGAATCTTTGAGGGAAAAATTCATCCCATAGCAACAGTAGAAGACTTACATTAATTCACCAGGGACAATCACTGATATGGGTGCAAGTCTGTACAGCATTATTTGAAATGACACCACACAAGCAAATTTCTCCCCTGTAGTTTAATGATCTTTGGAGGAAGCGACCGCATATGATGCTACTCTTCCTTTTAACGTGTGATACTGCCCATATACACGCGATAATTGACATCAAGTAAACACCACAATCTATTTCAGCTGATGCATTTTAAATTAAGCATGAATCTACTTTAATTCTGGCAGAAACAAACAAACCAGACAGTTACAAGCAAAGAGGACGCTTCTCTGTCCTAAATGTTGTCATTTTCACCATCATTGATATTATTTTGCAGAGGCTGCAGGCAGAGGAGGTGCACACCAATGGGTGATCCCTGGGCTTTTGCTAATCAATAACACATGATGTTAACAAGGACATCTTAACCAAAGCAGATCAGCGGATGGTAGAAGGATGAAAAGGTTCTTCAATGGAGAGAGACAAAATGTCTTTCTGGGGGATGGAGGAAGAGGAGTGCTATTTAGGGTCCTGACAACATAAACTACAGCTTTACTGCCCCAGCTACTCTTCCATTCCTCCTCCAGGATCATCCCAAAAATTGCTGTCCACCACTTATCAGGTGGCCAAGGATGGGCAATCCCTGCTGACAGATGGTCCATGATGTCTTTCTTTCACAATGGCTTTAAAATTGGACCAGCAGACCTTAGAAATGAGGCCAGTTGGTTAAGCTCTTCACAGCTCCCATCTGTATATATAGGGAGGATGTTAACCCATTGGACACTTTACCATTGGAAACTCACTCCATGTTAAACTCCATTATACTGATGGGAGTGAATAAACCTCCACCAAAGACAAGAACTCATAAGTTAGCACAAATTTATTTCTCCTGAACTCCGAACTAAATTAGTTGATACATTGACCATCAACATGCAAAATATGGAATACTAACAGTTTATTCAAGGTATTACTGAAAAAAAAAACTGCATATTTTGACTCAATAAAATGTGCATCCTGCATTCTCACATTAGATGTGTCAGTTTGGAAATTGGATCAAATAGTGATGTTTGCTTGTGACACAGAGGAACCAAAGTTCAGTTAAATTTCCTAAACCTCTGCTCTTCTGCAATTTCCACATGTCTGTGCAGCAACATTTTTTAAGGCAATACACTTCCAGCCTTTCCTATCCTAGGGATTTTACTGTACCTTAGCAAAAAATACATCTGTAATATATGTCCAACTGTGAAAATAACATGACCATGAAAACAAGCCAAACTTTCACTATTTGAGGTTGGTCATTGGTTCCACCAGGACTTTGCCTCGTTGACAGTTCTGCCCATATTTCTGCCCTTTCCTTCCTGAAACCAGGAAAGAGAAGGCCTTATAGATGACATTATCAGATCTAATGCTGTTTCCCCATGCTACAATTATGGTTTCAACTGTGGGACAGTTGGTAACATAGTCTTTTCTGAGGCAGGAGGTAGAAATTCCACTCCAAAGACAAAATCAATGTTTACACTCCAGCGAGGGAGCATTACACTGCTGCAGGCACTGTCCTTAGGATAAAAGGTCAAATTGATGCCCCATCTTCCTTCATTGCTGGACAGGAAAGATATAATTTTTTTTTTATTTCAAAAATATACTTTATTCAATAAAAGATCTTCATATACCTACATAGGCACGACAGCAGTTTGATTCTGTACAGTCTTTACATATGTAGAATAAACAAACTAAAGGCATTTATTACTTATACAACACTATATTCATAGAGCATAAGATGTCTCCTGCCTTTCCGCAGAGATGTTCAGGTCATGGAGTTGAATAGTCATGCATACACAGCTTTGTGAGGAACATAGGGCTGGATATTATGGCCCTGGTGTGTTTTCAGCAGGAGGCCATGTCAAATAGGTTGATAGCCAACCCACCACCTTCCCATCAAATCCCATTCTACAGAAGGTGGGCCAGTTCTGAAATCGACACCCTGTCCACAAGATGGAAATAAGTAATTAAATGACGGTGGAGCTGATTAAAGCCTGAATTGAACCTGATAATACACTGTCCAACCAAAATCTGGTCAGTGTGGACAGTTGAGCAGAGTAGGCAACAGATTATTTTTGTTAAAAAACACAAGTTTTTTAAAAGAACAGAAAGGGAAGAGGGAAGGGTGCTCCCTCTGTTTCATGCAATCCCCTGAAGACGTTAGCCTTACTTTAACTCCATTCCTTCCCATCCATCTATTGTCCAAAAGCCACCTTGGCCTGCCCTTCTTGGATTCCCACACTTTCCC